TGTGTTGTATGGTCACTGTGTAGGTATTCGCAATACTCACCGTGCCAGGATACCGGGACGTGACCAGGTATTGTTTATGGGGGGGGGGNGAAGATGGTCCATAGGGAGCAATGGAGATAGGGAGCAATGAAGATGGTCCATAGGGAGCAATGGAGATAGGGAGCAATGAAGATGGTCCATAGGGAGCAATGAAGATAGGGAGCAATGAAAATAGGGAGCAATGAAGATGATCCATAGGGAGCAATGAAGATAGGGAGCAATGAAAATGGTCCATAGGGAGCAATGAAGATGGTCCATAGGTAGCAATGAAGATGGTCCATAGGGAGCAATGAAGATGGTCCATACGTAACGATGAATATAATTTTTCAATTTATCTCTTAATATTATCCAATTGAAACGACGTAGAAGCTTCATATGTACATATGTAACAACAGATTTTTCCATATGTACTAAAGAATCATACATAGGGACGACAGCAAAAGCGTGTCAGGGGGCGCCCGGGTTTGAACCGGGGACCTCTCGATCTGCAGTCGAATGCTCTACCACTGAGCTACACCCCCGGCACCTGTACCCGGTGGTGTGAAGTGGTTGGTGTTACCTGGTGTTACTTGGTGGTGTGAAGTGGTTGGTATTACCTGGTGTTACCTGGTGGTGTGAAGTGGTTGGTGTTACCTGGTGTTACTTGGTCGTGTGAAGTGGTTGGTGTTACCTGGTGTTACTGGGTGGTGCGTTACTTAGTGTTACTGGTGTTATTGTGTGGTGAAGGAAACTGTCTTTGCTAAGAAATTTTTGTAGTTGCTTAAATCGTGCGTGTCGTAGTGTTGTGACGTGTTACTGATGTGGCAGTGACGTGTTATGTGACGTGTTAGTGACACGTTGTTTGTAAGATAATTACGAGACCATCATTGTAATATAATTATGAGTCTGTATAGACCATCATTGCAATATTACTACGGGTCTGTGTAGACCATCATTGTAATATAATTACCTGGTCTGTGCAGACCATCATTGCAATATAATTATGAGTCTGTATAGACCATCATTGTAATATTATTACGGGTCTGTGTAGACCATCATTGTAATATAATTACCTGGTCTGTGCAGACCATCATTGCAATATAATTATGAGTCTGTATAGACCATCATTGTAATATTATTACGGGTCAGACCATCATTGTAATATAATTACCTGGTCTGTGTAGACCATCATTGTAATATTATTACGGGTCTGTGTAGACCATCATTGTAATATAATTACCGGGTCTGTGTAGACCATCATTGTAATATAATTACCTGGTCTGTGTAGACCATCATAGTAATATTATTAAAGGTCTGTGTAGAGGTAGACCATCATTTTAATACAATTACGGTCCGTATAGACCATCATTATAATATAATTACCTGGTCTGTGCAGACCATCATTGTAATATAATTACCTGGTCTGTGCAGACCATCATTTGAATATAATTACGGTTATGTATAGATAGACCATCATTGTAATATAATTTTAAGTCTGTATAGACCATTATTCTGTGATCCTATGATGGTATTCGAGTCCATGCGTCGTCTCACTCAGCGGCCTGTTGGTCTAGGGGTATGATTCCTGCTTTGGGTGCAGGAGGTCCCGGGTTCAAATCCCGGACAGGCCCGCGGCTTTTAGTTCTAGTTCAGTTCATAATGCTTCACCATCAGTTATGTACTGTAATTCTGCTAGAAACTTATAGTGGAATAATTTGAGCGAAAGCCCTAAAAAATATGAGCAATATGCAGTGCTGGGACGGTGTGGTATGTGCTCGAAGTATTGGCGGGCATATTTTGTCTTCTGTAATATCAATTGTGGATATATTATATACAGTGAAATATCCGGTGAAATATCCAGTGGAGCTAAGGAAACATGCGTATATCAACATGTCTTCTGCCATATGAAAATGCCGGTTGTCATATGGTCATGTTTCATGAGGTACATGCGTCCCACTCTTGAGGTCTGCATGAGTCCCACTCTTGAGGTCTCCATGAGTCCCACTCTTGAGGTCTGCATGAGTCCCACTCTTGAGGCCTACATGTCATGAGTCCCACTCTTGAGGTCTGGCATGAGTCCCACTCTTGAGGTCTGCATGAGTCACTCTTGAGGTCTGCATGAGTCACTCTTGAGGTCTCCATGAGTCCCACTCTTGTGGTCTGCATGAGTCCCACTCTTGTGGTCTGCATGAGTCCCACTCTTGAGGTCTGCATGAGTCACACTTGAGGTCTGCTCGGGGTCTGGGAGGTCTGCGGTGGGCACCAGAAAAGCTTGATTGTGACGCCTAAAGAAAATAATTAATCGCTTGTGTTGTGGTCACCCACATGACCTTCTTTTGTCTCGCACCCGTCGCACCCAATATATTATAATAATACATTGCTTTTTTCTATTGAATGTTTAAAATATGTGATAATATGCTGGGAAAATGTCGCATGTTGTTTGCTGTGCTGAAGCTCGCGTTCGATGCCTGCTATAGTTTTTGCTGATTCCGTGGATTTGCTGCATTTTCATTTCATGTTATGTTCTGTGCCTTATTTCATGTTCATTTCATATTCATTTCATATTCATTCCATATTCATTTCTCATTTCAGATTTATTTCATATTCATTTCATGTTTTTGTCACGTTTATTTCAGGTTTTATCACATGTTGGCGAAAATTGCACTGAAATAAAAAAATATAACTCAATACTCACTGCAGTGAGAGACACAGAGCGCATTTTCTCGTCGACAATAACGTGAAGTCACGGACGGACAGACAGACAGACGGACAGACCGACAGACGGACAGATGGACGGACGGACATGACGGGCATTATACGGACGGGCGGACGGACATAATAGGGCATTTTTTCCATAAATGAGAAAATGCGCTTAAAAGCTGTTAAAATAGTGATGTTAAATCCCCAATCATTTTCATTTCACTGTCAGGAACCTGAGTAAATGTTATAGAACAAAGCTTTTATTTTGAATTACCTTTCGACTAAAATTAATATCGTTCAAACACATGATAACATTAGATCGTCACAAACACAATGTTCATAGTTGTGAAATAGTTTTATGCAGCTAGGACACACTCGAACGAACGAAAACTTACGCATGACGTTGAATTTTCCCGCGAGTTGGCTGAGTAAATTAAACCCAGACTTAGCATAAAATTTATTCATAAATCTGGTGAATTTTACTGAGAAAATTTCAAGCTTCATGAATTTCACAAACGATCCGTGAATGCAAAATATTGCTGAATGTGACTTGCTGTTATGCGTATACAGTGAAGACCGTAAGTCCTCATGTAGACTGAGGTAGCTTTAAAGGACTTCTACGTTGAACGTCTACTTAATAAACATATACTTACTCTAATGGTCACTTAGTACAACGTCCACTTGCTAAAACATCCACTTATTATAATTTCTACACTTTTCTCACTTAACAAAACGGCTACTCGGTAAAACGCCCACTTATTAAAACTTCATCTTAATAAAACTATTACTTAGTAAATTGCTCACTTGGTAAAACGAGCGCTTAGTAAAACGTCCGCTTAGTAAACCGTCCACTTAATAAAACCTCCAGTTGGTAAAACGTCCACTTAATAAAACGTCCACTCAGTAAACCGTCCACTTAGTAAAACTTCCAGGTAGTAAAACACCCACTTAATAAAATGTCCACTTAGTAAAACTTCCTGTTAGCAAAACATCCACTTAGTAAAACTTACAGTTGGTAAAACATCCACTTAGTAGAACTTCCAGTTAGGAAAACGTCCACTTAGTAAAACGTCCATTTAGTAAAACGTCAACTTAGTAAAATTTCCAGTTAGTAAAACTACCATTTAGTTAACGTCCATTTAGTAAAACGTCAACTTAGTAAACCATCCACTTAGTAAAACTTCCAGTTAGTAAAACTACCATTTAGTAAACGTCCACTTGGTAAAACGTCCACTTATTAAAACGTCCACTTAGTAAATTTTCCAGTCAGTAAAACCACCATTTAGTAAACGTCCACTTGGTAAAACGTCCAATTAGTAAAACGTTCACTTAGTAAAACTTCCAGTTAGTAAAACTACCATTTAGTAAAGTCCACTTGGTAAACGTCAACTTAGTAAAACTTCCAGTTAGTAAAACTACCATTTAGTAAACTTCCACTTGGTAAACGTCAACTTAGTAAAACTTCCAGTTAGTAAAACTACCATAGTAAACGTCCACTTGGTAAAACGTAATCTGTACACACATTTCAAACGTCCCACACCTAAAAATACACTACTAATACGCCCGCTAAGTTAAAAGTCCGTTTAGTAAAAACGCCCAAGTGGTGAAACGTCCAGTTAATGAAACGTAAACTGTAGAAGTAATTTGATTTGGAGAAGTAGTTAATTGATCTGTTCTTCGATCTCAACATATTGAGTCGATATACGTATGTACGCATGAGCAATAACTGAAAAACTTTCTGAAGTCTCTACCGAGCTTCTAAGTTAGTTTTAGAGCAACTTAGTCAGACTCTGATTTAAAAAATTCGTATCACAACTTATCGTCCAGTCGCACGTTATGAGGAAAAACTATGATTTATTATTTAAATTAATCTACGTGACATGAAGAAGATGAAATGCGTCGAGATTGAAATGATTTTTTAGGAAACCGTAACAGTAGCCTTAAAATACTTAAATATGAAGTTTAATTAGTCAGAAAATGGCCACTTGAAGACGTATAATTGAGGTGCCTTTTATCCCTGAGTGACGTGGCTGTTCCTTAATTAAAAATCTAATTTAAAAATTAAATTAAATGATCACACAACATCAATGGAATATCCTGGAAGTTACGATGGATTGCGCTGCTGGATTCAGCACTAGCATCCATGCACCATCTAATGGCTAATTACACACAAATTAATTAACGCGATTGCTAAATACACACATAATAATTATTGCGATTGCTAATTACACACATAATAACTAACATAATGGCAAGCTACCCCTAAAGTAACTAGCGGTGCGCTAGTGACCGTTCAGAATTAGCAGCAGCAGCACAGTTTTGGTGAGCACGGCGGGCGAACTGATGTCGGCCGCGCTGGTCATGTCAGCATGGGGCTGGTAAACGGCGTGGGGATTTACATTGTTTCCAAGCTCTTCAGTTCTTTTAAAAGAGATTCGAGACTTGTTAGTGGATTCATCTTCTTTTTTCATCTGGATTCGGGAAGATTCTGAATCCCCGTCGACATCGTCGGGTTCGACTCCATGAAATCGGACTCCACGCCGCTCCTGGGGGGCGTTGCCCCCCGCCCCCGTCCGGGTACGAGGCCCCCCGTCATCACATTCCTGCAGGGGAGCCCCCCATCCCCAGGCAGGATACTCTACCGTGAACTCATGGTCGTCAGGATCCTTGATCCACTGCTGCTGGTGTGGGTACACTAGACTCATGTTGCTAGGATACTCGACGAATCCTGGGGAGGGTTCCCCGATGTACAGGTTCTCCAATCCTGATCCAGAATCCCGACCGAACTTCAAAGGATACTTCATGACCAAGGGCAGGGTTATACCTAACGACTTACAACCCTTAGTGTCAGTCATGTCCTTGGTGACCCCTAGAACCCAGCCCCCACCACAACCCCCCCGCGGGTGGTTGAGTTGTGCCACCACGGGCTGGGTCAGGGGAGTGAGACTCAGGTTTTGTACAACCATGAACAGCAGCAACACCTTATCTCCACTAATGGTATTTCCAGTTCCATTGTCCTCACTTTCAGAAATATTGTCCGCATTTAAAATGTTTTTTTCTTGTTTTACTTTTAAATGTTCAGAACTTACAAACAAATATTTCTTGGGACTCTTTTTTAAAAATTCTTTCCTTCCTCCAGGATTTTTCTGCATGGTTTTCGACGGTAAATCCTTCTTGTTTCCTAATGCTAATCCTTCAATGAGTGTCTTTAAGTTACTGAAGGCGGCCGTGCGTAGGACGAAGCTGCCGTGCGCGTGCAGTACGTAGGCTGGTGCGCTGCAGAGGTGGTCGGTGAAATGTCGCTGCTGCAGCGCCCATTTTTGCTCGTCTCTGTACAATAAAAACTCATTAAAAAAGCCTCAACATTTATTACAACTTGTTGATGATCGCATGCAGCTTTCAAGCTAAAAATTATAGCTCGCTAAAGCCGCTACATATCAGTCTTCTGTATTTTTACAATCAACGGTTGTATTTTACAATCAACGGTTGTGTTTTAAATCAACGGTTGTATTTTACAATCAACGGTTGTGTTTCAAATCAACGGTTGTGTTATCCATCAATTGTTGTGCTTTAAATCAACGGTCGTATTTTACAATCAACAGTTGTATTTTACAATCAACGGTTGTATTTTACAATCAACGGTTGTATTTTATAATCAACGGTTGTATTTTACAATCAACGGTTGTATTTTATAATCAACGGTTGTATTTTATAATCAACGGTTGTATTTTAAAATCAACGGTTGTATTTTAAAATCAACGGTTGTGTTTCACAATCAACGGTTGTGTTTACAATCAACGGTTGTATTTTACAATCAACGGTTGTGTTTTGTGTTTTACAATCAACGGTGTTGTAGTTTGCACGGCCATTAGTATATCATTACGTGCACAATAAACAAGCGTCGGCAAATAGATTCAACTTCAATATAATCCACAAAGTTGTCATACACCACGGCGAGACGGCCATCCATTATTGTGAAATTTAGTCTAAACTTAAGTAAAAGTTACTTAAAAATCAAGTCAAATAGCTGAGCAACTTCAAACTAAAATTGTTTATCTGTATTTCCATCTGAATTCACAAAGTATTTCTAATACTTTCTCACAACTTCAATTAAAAATGTACTAATCAAAATTGCTACTAGATTCTCGACTAAAATGTTATAATATCAAATTTATAATTTGAATAATATAATTTTTTCTTCAATATTTGTTAACAATTTGCACCTGAAGTGCAGCGTCCTGGTGATGAAGAGGCCGTGGGGGGTTAGGGAGCAGGTGGTGGACCCCCAACTCCCCACTGGGGAGGACCTGCCCCCCCCTGCTGCAGGAGGGGGCAGCTGGGGGGGCTGCAGCTCAGTGGCTGTCAGCAGCAGCTGACAGGTGGCGCAGCCAACGAGGTTCTGACAAATAATAAAGTTAACCTTTTACTCCAATAACTTAATAAGTATCATAATTTATACGAAGTTCCACAATTAGAATAGATTTTATGTTTACCGTAAGTTCTAAGATTATACTAAACTCTGTAAAGACCTAAAGTTCCGAGGAAGATCACAATTTCAACGATACTTCTAAATGGTCATGATGTTTGTGATGACAATGATTGATTCTACGATCGTAAGTTTTAGAATACATGTTCAGTTTATACATTGTACCAAAGTTAGTGAATTCGTATTCTGTACATCGTACAGTCGTAAACTCGAACTGACCTCAAACTAAGTTCAGCATCATCATGCTAATGCTAACTACGATTGGCGAAGTAGTTTGAACTGCGCTGGTTTACCTAACGAAACAATTTTATCCTATATTTATATCAGAAAAATTCTTCAACAGGAACTTCAGCCTAAGTCTGTTTAGAGATCCTCTCTCTACAGTCCAACGCTCTACCAACTGAGCTATCAAATAAATTGTTTAGAGATCATTTATCTTGCAGATTGACACTATTTAAGCTTTCCATGAAAGTATTCATTTTCTACGACACTAAAATATGAAGTAAAAAATTGTAATTATTCGACCATATACTATTCTATTTTCCTAATCCCATCGTAAAAATGTACGATTCACACTCTTTATTACGAATTTGATTTGTATTGATACAATTAATCTAATATTAACGTTCTGCTATTTATATACGAAATTTCAGAGCATTTCTCGGCGGTAAGCTGCATGAGCTCCACGCCCCATAGCCGCTACACTGTAAACACTCGTCCCGATATATGACGGTGTTTGTTCACTTGTTTACGTGGCGCGAAGTGTTGCTTCACGCCTCTGCCTTCTTGTTGTAAACTCTAAAGCTTTGTCAGTCACGGCTGTCAGTCACGGCTGTCAGTCATGGCTGTCAGTCATGGCTGTCAGTCATGGCTGTCAGTCACGGCTGTCAGTCACGGCTGTCAGTCACGGCTGTCAGTCATGGCTGTCAGTCACGGCTGTCAGTCACGGCTGTCAGTCACCGCCGTCCTTTGTAAACTCTTGCGTAAATCTCCTTTGTGAAGAATAATCCCAAAGGGTTAGGGGGTGTATTTTACAGTATTTTCCATACCTGTTCGAGTAGTTGCGCTTCTGGTGCCTATGTACGAGTTTTTTCATAGTTTTAATTGCGAATTTTGTTACTGTCATTTATCGATTTTTATATTTAGTTCATGATTTATAGCTGTAAGATACCGATGACGAAATTCTATAACAACTCCATGAGACTGCGTGCATTCGTGAAATTCATGGACGCGGACAATGCTTGGTCACTCTGAGTAAGAACGAGAATCCATATCTCCATCTCGCCATTCGCCAATGTATAAATATGAATTAATTATCTAATAAAAATTTCATCGCACTATAAATGCTTATCCTTAGAGTTTGGTCTCACCGTGACTCAACACGAGAATGACATGAATAATACTCACGTTTTTTTGTCAGTTTACATATACGTCTGGAACATTGCATTCATGTAGAATAATTGCAGCTTGACCTGACACGAACATAATTCCGATAGTTAAGAAAATGTCAAGAGATCGGCAAATACACTTCCCATATTGCCGATGTTGATTCAAACTAAAGGAATATTAAAGAGTAAAAAGCCTACCTAAACCGTTCTATGTTAGCTCTAAGTTTTAGAATGAAGGAAAATTGAATGCTACGATATTTGAACATATACTAAATCTAATAAATCAAAGTAAGAATGTCATGTCACGGTATCCTTAAGGTATTGCGGTAGGTGCTAATGGTAGCAATGGTAGCTTGCGGTGCCTGGTGCACTAAACAAATATAATACAAACACACAACACAAATACAATCAAACACACAACACAAATACAATACTAACACACAACACAAATACAATACAAACACACAACACAAATACAATACAAACACACAAGACAAACACATCGCATGTATACTTGAATACATAAAGTATAAAAAGAGCCCGATAATTGTAAACAGGAAAAATTATGGCGTATGTTTGCCTCAAAGAGAGCCATGTTTGTGAACAGAAGAGATGATGATACTGTTTGCCTTATAGAACGCAATGTTTGTGAAGAGGAAGAAATGCAAAGCTTGTTTACGTAAACAAAACTAAAATAAGTGCAACCTTGACGGCGGTAAACACGCGGTCTAATTATACTGCTGCAGTTGCCCGCTGCAGGCACGGCCGACCTTCAGCGGCCGCGCATAATGCGGCTATAATCTTCGTTTGATATATACTCAGAAAAATAAATGGGTAAATAGAGACTCACAAAATAGGCCAGTAAATGAGTCAACAATGAAGTTCGTCTGCAGCCTCTTTCATTTTATTACTAATGCTTCATTTTGTCAATTAGGTAAATTGGTAATAATTTACGATATTGATTAATTGCCTCATTACTTTGTAATATTATCAATTACTAGCTTTACTATATAATTACCAGCGTTATCAAACACTTACGTCATTAATTTATTTCGGTATTGCATGCAGGATCTTAAATATTGAAGATAATTATCGAAAAGATATTGAATTTATTTGACAATGGCATCAAATTTAGGGGGCTTAGCCATCACCCACCTGGGGGGCGGCCAGCAGCAGGGGGGTCTGGAGGGCGGTAGGGGGGGCGCCGTGGCTGTCCTGAGCCAACGCGAGCTCTTCTTTATAATAATATCCTTCTGGTTTATTATAATATCCTTCTGGTTTATTATAATATCCTTCTGGTTTATAATGATATTCTTCAGGCCTTATTCCGTCCATAAATTTAATGCTTTTCTTATGTTCAATATTGGCTCCAAATTGCGTATCAAAATTGTTGGAATTATTTTCTGCTTCAGGGATTTTTTTCGCTGAAACCAAAATTCGGAAAAGTCGAAGTTCTTCCCAGTTGACAAAATTTTCGCCCATGCAGTCGAATTCTAACGAAAAATTCGACTTTTCATGTTCAGCCTTCGCATCTTCGATGTAGTTGAGAGTGTTGAAATGTGGGGCCTGTGTTGGAATGGTATCAAGGTTTACCGTTCGAGTTGAGTTCGAGTTTTCATCGTGAAAATAAGCGACGCTGGGTTCGAGTTGAGGTCGGCCATCGGTTGTGTTGGTGACGCAATTTTCGGAACATGATTTTTTCCAGAAGACTTTATAAGATTTCCCAACAACCCAAGGCTGGAAATAAGGAGAAATTGGATATGAATTGCATGTGAACTTATTATAAACGAAGAAAACGCTTTTTTTAGTTAGAAAAAATGAACTTTATTCGATACAGAACTTGAAGGAACTTTCTGCTTGCCTCATCAGTTTTCTCGTTTTATTTCCTTTCTTATTTCAATAGGCATAAAAAAAATTGCACCTCGATACACCACATCACTCAACACGTACAGTCATCATTACCTCCACTCAACATGTACAGCCATCATTACCTTCACTCAACATGTACAGCCATCCTTACCCCCACTCAACATGTACAGCCATCATTACCTCTACTCAACATGTACATCAATGTTACGAATGTGTTCCAACTTCCATGTCAACATTCAAGATCAATGCTGCACAATGTTACGAATGTGTTCCAACTTCCATGTCAACATTCAAGATCAATGCTGCACAATGTTAAGAATGTGTTCCATGTCAATATTCAAGACGCTCACCAGAAAATGAAATATAACATATTAATGTGCGAGAACATTAGAATTTATACCAACAACCTAGTTGAGTACGCATCATCCCAATAAACCTCTGCTGCTTGCATGACGCGACACTTTCTGTATACCCATTATGGTTGGTCTGTTGAGGCAGCAGCAGGCAGGTGAGGGTGTTTATCCTTCTATTTATGTCGTGTATTTACATAATTATGTATTTAACATGTATTTACATAACCCAAAGCAGTCCTGCTATAAATAATAAATTAATGACACCCAGTTCAACGAAAAGGGTCATGGTACTGCGCCCAACAACCTTAATCCCCCAGGCAGGGACTCTTAATTCCTATGAATTTGTTTCACTTAGTAGTTCCTCGTTTAGAGTAACTGTCTAAATTATTCGATGATATTTATCTTTAATTTCGGGGCGATAACATTGAGATGAAAAACTCTATTTGTCAGCAGTAATCGCAAGGGAAATTCTAGCACACTGCCATTTTGAAAGCGTGTAACGAACTATTTACAAGCAGTTCTTCAGCCGAGGGCGTGTTGAAATGCCATGCTCTCTTGTGAGCTTATGTTTCGAACTAGCCTCTTTTTATTAGTATTGGTCCCCTAATTAGATGAAGCCTAAGAATTGGTAAGCAAAAAAATCTTCGCTATACCTGGTAAATTAATGATTTTAGCCATCAAATTCAATTGAAATGTTATAACTGAATAAACCGAAAAGGTGTTCTGCTCCATATGATTAACGATGATTGACTGTTGCCATGTACTGAGAACAATTGCTGGGGCATAAATGTGTTGGAATGTGACTGTGATGGTGGTGCCTATCTATCACTCTTCAACTACTCGTGCCATTGATAATCGATCAATTTCTGATTTCAGTTTGCGGTTTAAGCCATCATATAACAAATCCGGCCAAATAGCTTCCTGGTTCCTGTCGATTGATAGCCATTTGTCGGCCATCTGAAAACTGTCCGTTGCCTGAAATTTAGTCAAATTTTAGGCAACTTTTTAACTTCCACCTGGAAGTCAAAAATCTCTATCAGGGCCCTAAGAGACCCATTTACAAAATTATTTCCTTGTAGCATATTCTTCTCATTACTTTCATATAAATATTTGTCTCTTGAGGAAGAACTTCTGAATACTGGCATATATTTATATATATATATATACTCGCCTGTTGAGCCAATACTGCTGCTCTTTCGCCCCAGGCACATGGATGGACGGTTCTTGTCCGCCGTAGCGGCCAACAGCGCTGTACGAACGCCGCGGCAGGCGACACGCCGCGTCAGCGTACACGTGGAGCGCGAGCGTCAGCCTGCCCTGCGCCGGCGCTGCGCCTGCGCCGATCAGGGGCAGGTGAATAGAAATTTGCATTTACTCAGATTTAAACTAAGATAATGAAACTGACAGTTTTAAACTTTGAGCAATCGAGAATAGCTTACCATTAAAAAGTGGGAGCAAGGAATATATGAGCAGACCTAAACTGACGTTGTGCAGAAAGTAGCAAACGACATATAGCAAAAATAAGTACGATTTAGAGACTGTTTCATCGTCACGCTCTCTGCTCTGGTCGGCTTAAGCTTAAATTCAAGCTCAATCGCCCTTCTATACAGAGTGGTGCTCAGCTCTTACAAACACCACCCTCTTCAGGCTTAGTAATTACTGGGACTTGGAAGTCCTAACACTCGGATAAATGGACAAAGTCTCATTCATTTCTCTGAGTGTATGGTAATAACCTACCTTTCTTCAGGTGTTTCGCTCCAGGGTTTTTCAATTTCTGGGAATTGTGGAATTTTGGTTCGGGTGTATAATAAGGGTATATTACTGCGCGGTCAGGAGAGTCTTAAAATGTCAATGATATATCTATAATTAATGATAATTCATATTATTTTTGTTTTAGAATGAGCTGAAAGAATTTGTGAAGAAATCTAGTGGCAATAACAAAGGGAGCGTGGGAATCAGTGGGGGAAAATATGGAGGCAAGTAGTGAAGGAAGTGATGGAAATTATTAGTGACGTAGTAAGGAAATATCAAGATCCTGCCTGGGGCGACTCACGGTTCGGGGGGCGGCCCCCCTCGTCGGGGGTGAAGCTGTAGGCCCTCAGCAGGAACGTGGGCCCTGGCCGCACCTCACACCTGTAACATTATTAATATATTATATTATATTGTATTAAATTATATTATATTATATTATATTGTATTATATTATATTATGTTATATTATATTATATTGTATTAATTATTTGTATAATTATTTATTTTTTAATATTTATAGTCTGCTATTTCCATGTAAGTAGCCATGGGCTGGCGTTATATTAATCGTCTTCCGTCATTTAATTTAACTGCCCAATCAAGAGTAAAACAAAGTGCAATGACGCGCCAGCCAAGGGGAACGTCAATGGGGATGAACGCCTCCCCAGGCTTCCCCACTTAGCGTAGACGACGCTGCTGCGTTATGAAACGGCGGCGTATGTCAGGCGCTTTAGAGCAGCATCAGGGCAGTATTGGGGCAGGATTAGAGAAGCATTATGGCGGCATTAGAAAATGATTTAAGGCAGCATTAAGCCAGTGTTATTAGGCCAGTATCAGAGCCGCATTAGGGCAGTATCAGGAGATCTTTAAAGCAATATTTGAGCATCACTACGGCAGCATTAGAGCAGGAACTAAAGCAGTATTGGGGCAGCATCAGAGCCGCATTACGGCAATATCAAGGCAAATTTATGGCATTTGTCAGCCGCCCGCGCCACAAGGGCGCCGTCGGGCCCCTCGAAAGCAGCCCTCAAATCCACAGTCAACGACGCGGCGTCTGATTAAACCTAAAGTTCATGTCCCAGAATTCGGCGTAGCGCCTCCGTAGCGCCATTATTTTTAATGGTAGCTGCTATTGAGGTAAACTATGAGCATATTTAACCGGCGTTTGCATAAGATATATAATAATATAAGGTTGTCGTGCGCTACTAAAGCAACATTATTATCAACAGCTCAAATCTCTCAGCATCAATACTGTTGAATGCATTACATTCATCAAGAGGAATTTTCGCTTGAGAAAATTAATAGAAGCTTTCGGCGCGTGAGAGAATACGAGTTTAAGAAATGTCTTGATACACTGCCGGGGTTTTGCTTGCATTCAGTGCCATACTGCATAGAGGGACCAAATCAGACGTAAAGTGTTTGATACTTCCTGTATTGACTGCACTACATCTAGTCATGCAGCAAGTAGTAATGACTTGACTATCTAGTCATGCAGACAGTAGTAATGACTTGACTATACATCTAGTCATGCAGCCAGTAGTAATGACTTGACTATCTAGTTATGCAGCAAGTAGTAATGACTTGAAACGAGTCATTGTTTCGCTTACTAGTACCTAAATGATTGGTTCGTAGCGCATTGACTCGGTAATTGATACTAGTAATATTACAGTAATAGTAATTACATAGTAAATAGGTCAGGTGACACTGTCAGCTGGGAAGCACGTATTTAACCATCTATGGTAGCTATGGAGGGAGCCTCACCCATCATGCCTCACCATCATGCCTCACCCATCATGCCTCACCCATCATGCCTCACCCATCATGCCTCACCCATCATGCCTCAC